GTATATGCCACCAACATTCTTCTCAGATTGACACAATTTCCCTACTTGAGCATTAAAGTCACCAGCTAAAACGACTATATCTGAGCGTTTAGTCTTTCGCAGCAAACTAGACAGATTTTGATAGAGCTCATCCTTCGTTTCATCCGAACTGCAGTCAGTGGGGGCGTAGGCGGAGATTACGAAAAGGCATCGGTGGGTAGTGCAGTCCTTTCTCCTTTTCACTGATCCGCTCAGACGGACAGCACACATTCGGCTATCTACCGGGATCCAGTCAAGTAATGTCTTTTCTGCTCTAGTACTCAGAGCTATCCCAACACCAGCTAATCCTCGTGAGCTAGCCGTCGCATCTCCTGACACCCTCAAGGTGAATTTTGCAGATTCATCCTGTTGGCCAGGTGGGGTTAGGTGAATAACCACACTTGGGTCTTGTATGCGTGTTTCTGAAACACAACATACATCAATGGCTCGGAATGCCAGAGATTTGGCTAGTGGTGCTTGTTATCCTATTTGGCAAAGTGTCCTAACATTAAATGCTCCTATATGAAATTGGTGGCGTGGCGTTAGGAGACTATCAATGGTGGTGTTTTGGCTTCCATCGTTTTCAGTGCACACACTGAAGAGGAAGTCAAGAGCCATCAAGTAGAGTAGTTGCATTAGTAGAAGGAAGGCAAGATAATAGAGATGAAGACAAAGATATGTGAGGATTAGAGAGGTTTCGCGTGCACTTCGGATTGTGAGGGCGATTGTTACTTCCCGGCTGCCCACACCGTGGAAGTTGGTTGCGTGACCGCAGAGCCCAGGGGACAACTGCTTGAGGCCGGTCACACACGCCCTGTTTTTGTTTCTCATTTGGTGTGTCTCAGTAGCACATTTATCACTTCTGCCTTGTGACACGGCAGCAGGAAGCGCGGTCGTTGTTATTCCGGACCCCGACCGATCCGGCGTGATATTTTGTGATTTATTTGGAGTCATAGGATTGGGTTGGGTAACTGCTTTTAGTCTAACCGCTATCCGAACAACCTTCCTGGCATGGTAGGACCTACAGAGACATAAGTTCCAGCCAGTATAGCTTGTTGGGTCATTGCAGTGTTCAAGCCCGACCACCACGTCAAGGTAGCAGCTTTCGGTCGGGGATGGAGCACCGAATGCCTAAAGAAGTTGACTTAAACAGTGAGGGTCAGCATCCAATGTTCTGTGATGAATACTGGGGAACTACGTACCAGTATATTTGTTTATTAGCACTTTATCGGACCTACCACGGATGACTAGATAATATTGCTAAAGATGAGTATTCATGGTTAGTTACCAGCATGAATAAAAAGTTATCCCCTCAACATATAACTTTCAATGGGATTTGGTGCTATTTTACCTAACTTATCCCTTTGTCAATTGGTTCATCTCAAAGATATACGCTTTAATGATAATGAGCTACAAATCTTCTCCCTCATATCCAAATGATATCATCTATTAATTTTCAAGGTATTTATCACCGCTCTATATTTCTCAGCGAGTGTTACGTACAGATGTTCTTGTGTTGTAGGGAAAATAATGGACTTAGATCAACCGCCATCCCGCAGTGGGAATTGAGCGAATTAATAAGTTAGTATTTCCAAACAGATGAAAAAGTAGATTGTTATCCACATATGTACCATCTTCATGGTCCAAAAAGCACTTGTTAATTTATGTGAAATACTAAGGATTTTAAAACACTGTCGTCCTGCGGACAGCATTGTTCTCTGAACTGTTTCATGGCACTACGGAGACGTATGCGGAGTAGGAGCTTATATGAACTGATATTACATATGAAAAATACAATACTTTCGATTTTAAACAATACCTAAATCTCAGTAATACGAAACAATATTCTTACAAACGTCCATGCTATCGTGAACTACTAAACTACACTCTCTGACACCATTTAGACTCAAGCATAAGAAATGTAAAACAATGGTGGTCAGTGGAAATCTTGAATGACAGCAATTATTTATCCTAGCAAAATTCACTCAGCACGTAATAGTGTTTGTGGTTTATTTATTTGTAATAATTCTCTTTTAGGTTATTAGCCTGTGAACAAGTAGCAAATTATGCATTTGGACAAATTTAGCAGAAAAAATTGCAGTTGTCAGATGAAAATATTGAGGAGTGGGTCGATGATTGTGTGGTAGAATTATAGCCAGCTACACGGGAAGTGCGGGTTCAATTCCCGGTCAACGCACTCCTAAACCTCACCTAGTTTACTATTCGGCAGCTAGTAAGCCTGGAAAAGAGGCTAGATTGAGGGTGAGGCTAAGAACTCACCCCGTGAAAACAAAATCACAGCTGCTGAAACCTTAAAACTTCATGTTCTACTAGGCATGCAAAGGAATTTAAAAATATTACTTAACAAGGTTTAATATGTACTCAAGAAACCCCCGGTAAAAATTGTTGACAGTTAAAGCAAATGTTTAGAGAAGAGAGCAATCGTCTCTTCTTAAAATACTTTATCATCACCATTATTAGTATTATTCTCAACAACAAAAAAGAACTTTAAACAGTTGTATAGAAAATTTAAAAAGATCCGGACGCACACATAAATCGTCGCAAAATGTAAATTATGGTAATAAACAAGTGAGCAAAGTGAATTAAAATATGTAAAACATGAAAGCAACTTGACTTGACTACAGTAAAATAGAACAATATATCCGAAAAAATGTTTGACCATAAAGAAAAGCGGATATTATGAAGACATTGTTATACATATTGTTTATGTAGTTCATCATCATCATGAAGACCACAGCCTGATAGAGAATAAAACTATATCATGTATGTATATATTTTGATATGTTCTAATAAGAAATGAAATGAAAATTAACTAATGACAAATGAAGTAACTAATTATATAATTCTAGTATAGTGGTTAATTGGGACTAATGAAATTAGAACTGAAAACAAAAACAGAGGGGAAGAGGGCAAAGCACGCGCAGTGACTATAAACATAATTTAACCGATTTCGTCATTGTAGCTTGATGAAGACCACAAAGACCTTGTAACAATTGGTGCGCATTTCGTCTTTCACTGTATCTGTATAAAAAATTAAATAGAATAATAAATAAATTAAAGTGAGTATATAATGTTCAATAGTTATTTTGAAGAATACGCCAAAATAATGATGGTTAGCTATAATATAAATGTCGGCAGGATCGAAATATAGAATGCAGTAGGTGTAAAATCAAGTGGCTTTTAAATATTGACATGAGTTATAAGAATTCAAGGAATTATTTCAAATGTTATATGTTATTCATCTGCATCAAACACAAACACTGAATATACCACCTAGTAGAAGAGTTAAACATTCACGGGAAAGTATGCAGGTTAAAATCTTTTGTCTGTAATATTCAAATCAGACCGAAAAAGTAACAAATTATTACACAAACAATAAAAAAACCTTTTTATTGAAATATTGAGCGTAACAATATAGTGAAAAGTACACTTCCTAAGAAAAGTACTCGGAAAACTGATCAATAGTATAACTTAAGAATTGAATTCCTTATATAAGTATACCTTAGAGATAAAACAATGGGATTAAATAAGTTCGCCATGTGGCATAAAAATGCATTGGTTGTCTGATTGTATATTTAGTGTGCAATAAGATTAAAGTTAGAAGGCAGTTTTCTGTACAATGAAAAAAAGTTAATTATAAGTTTTAGCAGACAAAACTAGTAGCGCAGCCGCCGAAATCAGTTATCTTGGAAAACAAAATGTTGCGATGTGAACAATTAAGTTTTGAGAGTTAAGTAAAACAAGCATAGGTCTAACCACAGTGCTGTTCTTAGCTAGGAACCAAGAAAACATTAACTACTGACATTCAACCTTGCATAGTTATAGTCTACATAAAACTGTATAAGGTTTCTGCAACATTAAAATATCCAGTATCAGTACTTAGTGCAGTGATTACAAAAAACTTCAATCTGGCTAAACGTAACTTCCACGAGAATGAACGGAGATGATTACAAAATGCAATTAATTTGTATCACTAAAGATACCCTTGTTGGTTACGCTAGTGATTTTGTGCAGTCGACTCTCACCTTGACAACTAATAATCTTGCTCATATGGACACTACACCGAATGAAATCCATGATATGATAAAGCAGCATGTATTGCTTCATAAGGAGTAGTTTTAGACTGAATGAGAGCGTTAACCAGTTAGAGACATTTCGACCCTAACATATACAGATGAAGTTATTGTTGTACATTAGGGTAGAGACTATGCACATATACACTTCACACGTCTAAGTATTCAGAACCTATTCAATCCAACTGTTAAGTTATTAGAGAAGTAATCCACACGGTATCTAAGAATAACTCATACCGAACACTAGTCATCACTACGAATTACAAGGAATGTATTAAAAGTAGCCTAAACACCTTAGACTACTTACAAAATAATGATAAAATTTTATCTTTTAAATATTAACGGGACAAATGACGAACTCATAAGGATATATTACGGTATTTACAGAATTGGAATGCAGGAGCGATCCAGTAGACAGTATTTCAATGCGGATAAAATAATTGTGTAATCGGTCAGTAACACGTGATATAATTCGAAAGGGAATTAGTAGCTGGTGTCTACTACAAATGAAATGAAGCTTTGTGACACAAATACTTGATCTTCGACGAACAGATCACCTGTCTCCTTTATTCCAAACCAATGGGTCTGTTACGGAAAGACAAGAACAGTTGTTGAGTAGAGGACGCATATTCCAATTCACATATCGAAAAAGGAGGGACAGTTAGTGAGCTACGCAAACCAGCTAAAAACTAACTAGTGAGTATAAAATAAGTGAGCCATATTATGAAATCAACAAAATAAAGCAAGAAAGGATTGAACACAAAGTGGAGAGTTCATTGGTGCGATTCAAACAATGTGCAAAAAGTAAGTCGGAAGAATCACTTTTTAAAGAAAAGAGAAATAATAAATTTTGTTCAGCTAACCGCAATTGAGTCGTGTTGTAATTTATCATTCAGTTCGTGTTCTAGAAATAGAAATACAACAATAAATACAGATGAAAAAAATTCCTCCATGAGACAAAAACGAACAGTATGTGTGCCTTTATACGTCTGGTATGCAAAAGGATATTTGGGTGCAGTGCTAATTTTAATCTGATATTGAAATCGCCTGTTTGAGACTCAGAATTAAATTGACCATAAGAACTTGAGGGATATATGTTCCGCTACTAGCCTAGACAATTTGAAGCTAGGATATATTCAATCACTTGTAAATATTACAATGTTTGAAATCCTTTGCTTTACAGTTTAGACTACTAATATCACTTCAGATGATAAGAAATAGCCTAGCAAGTAGTTGAACTACTGTGAAATAATTATTTATATGTTCACTTAGCAATTTCACATAGATTCAGCACAAATTATTTCACTAGAGGAGATTTTTTCAGCAGAGTGAGAAAATCGCCAAGAATATATTCATTTGCCATACAGGAAATTGGGACAAATGATTAAGCAACATCCTATGAGAAAATGAAAAAGTTTCCCAGCTGACAGCTTCTACCATGAAATGGTGGTCGGGACTGCACATCATCGCAATGACCCAACGAGCAATACTGGCTGGAACTAATGTTTGTGCAAGTTTTACCATGTCAGAAATACCCTTTGGATAGCGGTTAGACTAAAAGCAGTTATCGTTATAGCATAAATCGTTTACAATATATTGGAGGTCCTTGAGTGAAGTCGTGGCGCTGACGAATAGGAGATATATGGACAGTAAGGTGTCTACCTTGGACGATTAGCAGGCCAGCTATGCTGCTTCTGTCCTCTGCAATGACAGCTGGGAAAGGGTAACTCCCAAAATTGTAAAATGTTAATACAGACACAACTTTAATACCAATTCTTTTTCTGTTTTAGGTATTTAAAGAGGAAATCAACTTTCACGGTTCGGGCAAACGGGAAGTAACAACTACCTATGCACTTTCCGAATGCGTTTTGGTTCAGTATTCTACTCGATACAGCTGCATACACACAGAGGTAAGTACAACTTAGCATCATATAGAACAAAAGAGCATTTTATCCCTAATACGATTCGCACGAAAAGGTAAACAGTAATAGATATTTATATGCGTGTTCTAGTAACCTTCGACAAGACAAGAGGAGAAAGATTTTCAACATGAAATGTAGACTACAGACAATGGCTAAGCTAATTCCTATTTACAGCACTAATTGTGTTGTTTATCCATAAATAGCGGACAGGTACATAAAATAAGCACCTCCAACTGAATTTTCAAATTCAAATGCACATGTAAGATCAAGTATATTGCTTCTTCGAACATACTTCTAAAAGCATACGAGTCAAGGGTTCCCAGTCTTCTATCAGTAGAATAGCTCAATATCGAATTGAATCGAGACACAAAGTGGAATTTTCGACTGTCCTTAAAATGACCGATAAGTACGAAAATCCAACCTTATTTTGATTTGTTGAGTCCACTTTATACAGCGATTTTAACGCAAACTTTGTATACAAAAGGAAACCGCGATTAATGTCGCAGTTATTTACTGTATTTCATCAATGCATCTAACTATTTTCCTTGAGAAATTCGAACAAGGCAAAAACACGTTCAGCAGGATAAATTAACGTCATTAAATTTTGCGCCATAGATTGGCATGAGCAACACGTGTCCAAGCCATCTTAATTGATGCCGCATAACAACCTCATCGATTGACTTACTCTTCCGACCTAACACTCTACGGCTAATTTTAATATTCGTCATCATATTACACCACCTAACACAGGCGATAGAACAATATAAAAAAGCAGAATGACAGGGTAAATTTATCACTGGTAATGGTTTTCTCAGCTTCTACTTTGTTCAAAACAGAACATCAGCGATATTTAACCTATTGATGTATAGGTGGCGCACAATTTATAAAATGTTTCACTGACTTCAATACGAAAGCACAACTTAAAAACTACAACTAACAAGATTATCTCTTTGGGACAGCACCTGATCAGGCTTTCTGCTGTTGATTTGACTACTGGTATACATTTTTAACAACAGAATGTACAGTATCACCCACGATTATAGTGAACATATTCAACTGAAAGAACTAAGTATACCAGTTCATGTGTAGTAGTATCTAAATAAGCAGACATTTTAATTCTAAATATGCCATTATGCATATATTGTTGAACTAAAAGTATACATATATATATATATATATATACATGACAGAATAGACTTGAAAGAGATCAAAAGCCAGAGAAGGAAAAATGTATTGATTTCATCTAAGTGATCCTATTAAAAGACAGAAACAATAGTTATATAAAAACAATCTATGATGGTAAATTACGGTCTACACATAAAACAGAACCGGTTCACACAAATATTCTATTAATGAAGAAGACTTGAACATTTTTACTAGCTGAAATGTGTGTCAGGTTAGCGTAGGCCTTATTTAAATAAAACAACACAACTGTAGTGAATATGTTAATCAGAACGATGCTATCCAACCATCAAGACAATATGTGAGCGAGTGGAGAAAGTAGAGAACAGCTTACTTGACAAAATATGTTAAAGTAAAACATTAATAGAAAGAAAGACTATTTACAAACAATATATACATATATATGCACTAACCTGACGCCAGGTGAAAATTCACTGGTCACTAGAGTCACCTGAAATGTTGAAGTGCAATATGATATATGAATTAGCCATTGTCTTCTTAAACGAAAGAACAGATAACTTTTTTATTGATAAATAAACCACTATATAAAGATTGTGGAATGATATGCTATATATTATATAATTATTTGGAGAATAAAAACAAACAAATAAGTGTAGATGATTTTGAAAAGAACTAACTTACAATCTGTATACAGTGACGATAACTGGTACTATTTGACTAGTCACAAATAATCAGTCTTTATTTTGCTGAGATCAACTCAATTAAAGTCAGCTTAGCTAAAATTATTTGTGTTAGCAAATAAACATACGAATCGCCTTTTACCTAAATTCCTTTTACCTTTCATCCATTTAATCGTCATTTAGTATCTTTTGTGACCAGATTAACAATAAAAAAAGTTAATGATGTTATGGAGAAGCAATTAAGATTATACATATGAAATGCAGTAAATACAGTTCATAAAAATATATCATTCCAATAATCAGTATTCATAATTTTATTCCTTTGCGTCCCGATTGGAACATAGCGCGCTTTAATTTTGAGCTTAGCTGTTTCAGTAGCAATAGAATGTCGTAACGGTGAGGTTACTGGTTTTGCAACAAACCTTCTTTCTTTACCAGATGGGCTTTCTACTGGTTAAGCACGGTTCGGAAAGTGTGTTGGCCAAGGAATGAATCTCCGGTGAATATTTTTACCGCCCAACCACCAACGCACATCAATCAGTTTAATAATGGTATATAAGAATATCACAAATAACTATAATTGTACTTGAACAATGACGAATGAGACAGTTACAAAGGCAAAAACTCCGAAGAGCTGTATCACAAGACAAAACAGGCATACACTGTTTTATCAGTAATACTTTTTGGGGAAAAAAGACTAAAATTGAGTTAGATAGACTAAGTGAATTATTATCCAAGGATTGTCTCATATTGTGGCATATTAAAAAAGCATATATTTTGCACCTTAACTTGGAGTTTGACACACAATTACCATCTTTCTCTTTTTATCGGCAAACTGTTGTAGTTACACTGATTTACATACAGTACACAGCTCTTTTTGAGAAAATTAATTATTACTGCTTTTCTATGTAACTATTAGTATAAGTATAAAACTTGGGCACTGTGGTAGAGCATAACTCCATTATGGATAAGATTTTATTTTGATAAATCACACAGTGGTGTTATACAGTAATATTAACTGATGACATTTCGAGCACAAATCATATCAAGGACTTGATATGATTATGAGCAATAATTTGTGCTCGAAAGGTGGTCATCAGTTAATATTACTGTATAACACCACTGTGTGATTTATCAAAATAAAATCTTATACATAATGGAGTTAACTATTGGTATATTTGTGGAATTTAGAATTAATCAGTTGGTCACCTAATTCAGCATACATGTGGCAACAGCATTCTTAGTTCAACATGAGGATGAATTCTAGTTAACCAGGGTGGTCTTTACATTATTTTGATAGTATTATATATATATATATCATAACAAGAAAACATTTTCTAAGAAATATTAATAATTTCAACATTGGGAGTCAGTGTTGTTTGTTAACTGTGATTATGAAACAAAGATTTATTTTACTCAGTTCAATTTCACTGTTGCTAAACACTGAACTGCTATGAATACATTGACATTCTAGATCATTATTGCAGCTTCATCAATGAAGAAAACAGATACATTGAAGTTTTCCTTCAATATGATTCTTTTTTTTTCCTTCACGTTCCCCAGTGGAACATAGGGCTTCAAGCTAGTAGCTTGAAGTTTCTGTAGCAGTATTTATTTTACGGGATGGGGTTGCTAGCCTCATGCCCAACCTTTCCTCTTCACCAGCATTATTTCTGACTTAGTGAGGTAAAGGAGTGCGTCGGCCGGGGATCGAACCCCGGACCATGTGCATGGTCGGTGAGCGTCCTAACCGCTATACCACCGACGGAATATGATTCTAGGCATTACCAAAAATCGAAGGCTAATTATGTGTATCTTTTTTCTAGAGATTTTGGTTACGCTGAAATCGTCCACTTTATAAATTGATATTAGATAGAGAGAAACAAAACGAAAGCAGAGGTGTACACTCAAATTTTTTCAGCAACTGTGATACAGTCTAAAGTCAGCAATAACAAGAGTATCAACTTTTAGATCAAAATCTGATGTTTGGACAGCGCTCATCGTTTTTCAAGCAGACCAGCAGTGGAAATCATTAAAAGTGGTACAACAACGACATATCGCAAGATAGAATTACGCATACATACAAAACTGTCCTCCAGATTTGTTGACCTAAATCTTGAATTTCTTAAGTTTTTCAAGAATTCATGCAATGATTATAATCTTAAGAAGTCAAATATTCAATACAAGTTATTCAGTGACTGGAATTCCTTTCAGTTCGCTGTAGAGCGACTATATTAGGATTTTATATATGTATTATAGAGTATACTACATAACGTTACCTTGGAAGAAGACGCTTGATAAATCGATTGAATGAAATCCAAAATTTCTGAATCATTTTTAGATTTCGCCACATCGAGAGCATTTTTTCCGTTCTGTGGAAAAAAAATTACACAATTAGTAATTTAGATTGTGCAGCTAACTTTTAATTACCGATACAAGTTAACAAATCTAAATTAATTAGGCTAAATTGAAATAAGGCATAGAGCTCAGTATAATTAAAAGGTCAACTTATTCCTTTGGAAACACACCATGTGTGAGTTTAAACTCCCACACTCTGAAACAGTAAACAGGAAATAGAGCACAGAAGTGGAATAACAGCACGTGAGATATCCATGAATGACTTTTTTTTATTACAGCTTGATTCCACACCGTATTTTTGGTACAAGTATGGAATTTTCAGCATGTGGTATCGGTAGCCCAAATTTTGCAGGCCGACCATTGATATCAGGTGTGCGTCGGCAGGGGATCGAACCCCGGACCATGTGCATGGTCGGCGAGAGTCCTAACCACTGTGCCACCGACTTGTTAATGAAGTTGGTGTTTAAGATATCAGCAAGCCCACCGGCAAAAACCTCCATAATCAAATATGAAGGCTTGGAGTACACTAAACGATCGCAAAACATAATCAAATAAAGATTAGTGAAAATGTTCAGAACAACGAAGGGATGAGATATTTTGATTCATTTAACTAAAAGTTTATAATCATTGGTTCTTCGCGTCTTGAGGATTATAGACAAGAGATTTACAACTCCCTAAACGATTCAGAGCAGCAGTCACTGACTTCATGAACTAGTGTACTGCAATATAATTACGGAAGTTAACCAATAGTTACCAGTTAAAGTTTATCTGAACTGTTGCTCAGTATCTTATAGTTGCTACGATACTGCTTCAGCGACAATGTAGAAGCCATTATTCATCATTGTGCATATCTAATGTATGAGAATTCTTCCCATGAAAAAAAAGAAAAACAGATTAATAAAATAAATCTGATCACATTCTGACTTTTTTCTACAGACCCCCTATTTGTCATGCAAGGTAATAATATGAATTTATAGTTGCGAAAAATTGACCATTAGATTTTGATCTACTCACAGAAGGACAGAGTGTCCACCTTGTAACCCGAACGCCTGGGATCGAAACTGTGCTCGTGTCGTTGGTGGTGAGTTTAGATGAGATAAATTAACAACATACAAACAGATAATAAATTATGTTAAGAATTACACAATAATAAACTCACATTATCGACTAAAGTCAAGTCTAGATCCGCATAGCCAATCAGACATTTTATGACATTGATATGGCCTTGTTCAATAGCATACATTAAAGCAGTATTACCAGATGCATCTTGGGCGTTTATATCAGCTCCATGTGCAATAAGTAACGAGCAGATATCAACAGCACCATGTAATGCAGCTAACATTAGTGGAGATTGACGGGCAGGTGTTTTCGTACGCAGATTAGTATCACCCATACTAAACAATCGACTGATTGTTTTTAAAGCAATAGGATCAGAAACCTATAGAAAAGATAGGGCAAAGTGATGTTAATGAGCAGAGTACTTGTGATGATATATTTCCTAAGCATATACACAGAAAGCATAAATGTTGACGCTTATAGTGTAACTCAACTGCAGTAACTTAAGTACCGAAAAAATGATGTTTTACATCACTCACATTGGTAAGAGTAGCGATCATGATCGGAGAAAAGCCAGACCGATTGAGATGATCTGGATGTGCGTGTCCTGTATCCAAAATCAAATTAACCACCTGCCACGCACCATGACCAACTGAATAATGCAGGCAAGTACTGTCCTGAAAATATAGGAAGACAATAAAATCAGTTCATATGTTAGGCACAAGATGATACTGTAGATAATTTACTGTTTATATAGAAAACTAACAGAAACAGTAAATCATGGTAAGATGCACAAGATAGGGAGAAGTAGAAAGTGTAGGGAAAACAAATCCATTTATACGAACTGTGATCAAGATTTGATTGAGTAGTTCCACAATAAAAATGGACACCGAGTGAAAACTATACAAACATAAAAATTATACTTTTATAGATCTCAGCGAAATGATTCCAAAGTTTCGTCCTACAAACTGACCCGAACTTCTTCACGCGATCAATAAAAATTAAAAACATCAAAGGTACAAATAAACAGGTACACCTTGACATTCCAGTTCTTGTTCAATTATTACTGAATCATAAATAGTCATCAAAAAAGTTAAAGAAGCTAATTAAACACATTTCCTTAGACTACACAAGAACACATTGGTTGAGTTCTGTTCCTCAAAAGTACTCAAGCAGTAAATTATAACTAGATTACACTTGAGTAGTGCTTGGTGTAAAGGTTCCTGCATAATCTGTTTAGACGTTTGTGTCACACTATTTACACTGAAATTCAGGCTTCCTTTCAAACACTCGAAGGAAGGACTAACTAGAATTGTGTTACATTTAGGGAAGTCGTTGAAAGTAACGGTAATAAATAAAGCGACTATCCAGGTTTTTATAGAAACCCATGAATAAACCAATGAGGTTGGTAGTTTCGCACGACTATTTCAGGATAAAATCCGACAAAGACTGTTGAACAAAGAATTTTTCTATCGATCATCTTCTCTTGTCTCCATCTTACATAAATAGTAAGTTTGTGTACATCAATAACAAAAAAGGCTTTGCAATAAATCACTATAAAGAATAATGATATTCAAACAATTCACTTCGGGACTTGATAATATAAGAATTGAAATGTTCGAGAAATTCACTGCAAAATAAAGGCGTGTATGGTGGGTGATAAGTTCCCTGTAGAAGTATACAGTCCAAATGAAGTATTTCAGAGTTTTTATTTTCAAGGTGTATATGACTACAATTTAAGCTGCTTCGGGGTTAATAAAAATGAATGAGTATGATAAAGCAGTTGTATTCTATCAGGCTATAAATTTTACGTGAATAAATATGAGCCTAGGTAAACGTCAAATATGCTTGAAGGGAATGATTAATATTTATGTGGTATGAGTTAGAAAGTTAACCAAAGGGAGACATAGTGTAAAAGAAAAAAAGTGAAGGATAAATCATAGTTATAATTATCAGCTGGCATGTGATTTGTATATACATCTTACTAATAAACAGAGAAATACACCTACATTAATCACAAAATTGATTAAATTAAACATCTTTTTATTCATATTGGTTACTAGCTATAATATATAAAATCCATTTTGACTTTTGAAAGAAGTAAGAAGGTTTGTATGAAAGGTTAGTCTAGTGAAGTATGGACCAGATGTAAATTTCTATGTAGGCAGACAAAAATACAGGGAAACTATCAGTGCGGAGATCTGCAGCAGTTAGCACAAGGAAAAACATCCGAATTTTTTAACGATGACGTCAAGTGAATTCTTCTTTACGGTTGAGAAATTCAGCGCGCATCACCAATAGCATTTTCAATAGGTTACTGCGCATTTTGTTCAACACACATCTTCAATGGCTCGATACTAAAGGTCCAAGGGTGGATAGGTAAGAATAAGCAACAAGGAACCTGCGCTGAAGATGTTGTCTAGAAGGATAATGAAAGCTTCGTAATTGAATTAGTCGGCTCAGAGAACACAACTTAATCAAAATCATCCACCTGAGCTACAAATTTTCTTGAATATTTCAAGAACTTTGGCAGGGCCGACCAAGAACCTATTGCTTAAAAAATATGCAAAAAAATGGTGATGGATTGAACACTCACCGAGGAGACCGTTGAGTGGAATCCTAGTAGGAAGTGACAGGGCGGGTGTCTGAGAGCGATATGAAGAATACCGTTTGAAGAGGAAATAAAAGCTTACGAGAAGTCATGAAGCCAGGTGAAAGATTTGGCATGGGGATGTTCACTTGAAGCTCTATGTATAATTTAGAACGCAAGGAAGGAATAATAACCATAATAATGAGCCAGCTTGACTTGAAAAAAGCAACAACACTGATTGCATTCAGAGTGAACCCCACTCATTGCTACTCCTTAACTGCACATAAAAATGAGTCAGGTTTTTATTTGGTAAACATCGCATACATATACATTGTATAAACAAATTTTGGGCACAAAAGACGGACGCCGTAGTTGAACAGCAAGTCAATGAAATAAATTACTAAGCCAACGATAAACAATGAGTATCATTTATGTTTAAAAGTTACTCAATATTGCAGAAAATACATGAATTCATACAACTAGCCTAAACCAAAAAGAAAAGTCTGGGAAGCGAAAACATGCAAATGAGTATAGACAGGTAGCTGCATATATCCTCCCTCATTAATAAATTTGTTAAACATTTCATTATTTCATCATACCACCCTTATAAAGCCACAAAAATAGTTGTGGAAGAAAAGTTTGCGGAAATGTAACTTGTAAATATTTCTAACTTTGGAATCTGAGTTATCAAATGTAATTATTACTAGACGAGTGTCTCTAAAAAATGATCAAGAACACACACTAGTCTTGACACATTTTTGACCAATACATATACAGTGTAAGAAAATATCAGTCGAGTTCCAAGAAAAGAGTATAAAATATAATGAGAAAAGACGTTTAGTTCAGCATTCACGATGACTTGACTAGGGTTAACCAGTTCATTTTCACGACTTCTGATTTATTATTTATTTATCATGCATTTAAATCCAATTGGATTGCAATGAAGCATCATTCAAAGATGATATTGATGATGATGATAATAATACAATTTAGCCTTGCCTCAAACCTATTTGATCATTCTGTTTCATTTCCTCAACAGAATATCTTAACTGCATTCCTTCCTTGATTACTAGTAATTTACTAATTGAGTACATAGTAGCGATAGATGCTGAAGATATTAAGTCATGCCATGCATGCTCAAGTTATAGGACTTCTAACAGAGTACAGTCAGACAAATGTAGAATTAATTACAGGATTTCATCATGAGCTGACATTGATTACAGAACTATTGGAAAACCTGGGAGTACTGGACAGATGTTTCGTCCTAGTTTGGGACTCTTCATCAGTACGCACCCACCGGGGTTCGGACTAGGTCCCAAACTAGGACGAAACAGCTGTCCAGTACTCCCACGTTTTCGAATGGTTCTCTAACCAATGTCAGCTCATGATGAAATCTTGTAACCAATCAACCAAATCCCTACAAACCAATACTTGAAAATGTATAATTAATTCCACTTTACTTTGTTCACTGAATATATCACACATTGCAACATTACTGTTTACTGGAAAATAGTTTGAATACAATTTATTATTCATATTCATATCAGTTGTAATGACACAAAAGTATACAACTGCATCAACCAGTAGTACTTGCTAGCCAGATCGAAGTGATCTAAACAACGAACCGGTATAAAACTACTCATCTCAATTAGTTAGCAGTATATAGCTGTGTCATTACAACTGATATATTTTTATATTCTGCACAACGTTGGGTTGAATAAGGAGGAACGCATGATCTGGTACAGACGCAGTGATTACGTCGCTTGTTTAACGCCAAAAACGTATACAACAGCTACCTGATTTCTCAGTCCTTTACTTAAGCAGCAACAGAACAAGGTGAGACGGAAAGTATATGCATCGAAAGGAACAATGGCATTATACATATGTATATATATGTTTATTAGGCGTGAGAAAGGATAATCCATTGTTTATCCGTTTATTTACATACTGAACGTCCATCACCAAATCAAATATGAACTTCAAATTGTGTTCAAAAAATCTAATACATGATACTGTTTACCTGAGTGCTAAGCAAATTAATATGGTATTAAGTCTACGTCTGTCTGTCTGTCTACACTTTGTAAGGAGTCCCATGACTTAAGCAAGCATGATATGACTTAGTATTTTAAATATCTGCCGTTATTATGCGTTTAACTGATAACTGTTATTAATGATCGATAAAATCACTCTACTTGTATGCTAAATGCAGTATACTTACAGGTTAACAGTCTTCTCATTGCAAACAATAGTAACATTAATAATCTTCAGTGAAAAACTGAACTACACACAGTCTGCTTTTGTTTTAATAAATTTTTACGAGTTTAGAGTTTACAATATAAAACTTGTAGCATCAAGTGTTGTATCGTTTTCTTTTATAAAGTGATTGAAAGAATACTCATTTTCAGATGAGATGTTATATTTTTCTTTTGTTCAAAAAAAAAGAATAATTCTTAAGCATTCACTTACATAACCATAACAGTATTACACTAATAATTCATACATACACACATATATATTTATATACATATTTCTTACTTATTAGTTAATTATATCATCTACTGGCTAATGGAGAACTTCAGAAACCATTAGAAGGTATTCATGGTTGTTATATACAGTGGAATGTGAGTTCAAATGATCAATAATTAGTGTAGTGCACAGACACAAGCAAATACTTACACACAGTGAAATATACAAGTTATTTGGTTTACTAATATAACGTAGACAACAGTTAACCAAGTTAAATATATCACATTGATTTTATATGAGTAACAATAGAAGAAACCACTATAATAAGTGAATTATTATTATCACCACTATTATTATTATTATTACTACGACTCTATATATGTATATATGTATATATATATGTATATATATATATATATATAAAGCACAAAAGCACCTAGGAAACTTAGGAATAATGACTTCCTTGGAGAGAAACGTTTATACAGGCGCTTCACATCAGCGACTGAAATGAGAATAACGCTGAACTTCAGGCACCTTTAGAATAATGGGGTATACAGGAGTATTTTGGTATTTCAGAGAAATATGTAGAGAAAAAAAAGTCTCAGGTAATATAGCATATTGTGAGCTAAAACAGATATTCAGACAGGTCCATACAAGCTAGTATAGCTTATAACAGTTGTAAATTAAAATTGGCGAGATTGGAAGAAAGTCCGTAATTCTGTTCTTACAACTCAAAGAAGATACATCTACGGAGATTCTATAACAATACAGTAGTTAGCCAATGCTCTCCTTGAGAGTCAAAGATAATTTACTTACATTGAAATTTAACTAGTTCTACCTGAGCACGGTGAGACAGGTTCTTCTTAGCATTCATGAAAGTCTACCTGCCTAGTTAAATCCATGAAAGATACTATTTTGGCACACCTAATAAACCACGATAAGATACGCTAATATACCCTTCACCTTGATGTCATATAACTAAAACATCACGTACAGTTCATGTAGGCCAAATTTGTAGCAGTAGGGGTTCAGTCAAGTCAGAGATTTGTTCAGAAATAACAGGTTCAAACGTTATTCCTACATTGACTGCCTTTAGACTAATAATTTTTCCTTTACCTATAATCTTCACTTCATATGATCTCCTACTGTTATTATTATTATTATTACCTCTTGTATATTTCTATCTCATCGATTTCACACACATATTTTATGAATTAACTTATCAACATTTGTCCACGGTAAACAAATTCGTAAACAAAGCGTTGATGTTGTTACTCAACAACTACTTGAGATTCCATGGAGTTGGCGATGAGACACACTAATTGTGTGGAGGATGATGATACGGCCTGCCTACCTAAACCTGGATAGGTGGGGGGGGGGGGTTGAACGCATAAACCACTTTTGGAAGTCGACAGCCTAGATCACTGAGCTACAGCTCCACTATGCTGATATGATACTATGCAAGTGAGCAGATTCTACAACACGTATTCAAACAGAATGCGACATATTTAGGCTGAGCGTTGCTTAGTGTAAGAGTGCATCCGTTTGGGTTGTCATAAACTTTTCTAGTATGACAGATAGTGTTCAAAAAGGACAATAAAATGATAAATATGACAAAATTAGGAGGACACTCAGATCTAAGGGAAAAAATCTTTTCTTTCCGTTCTTTGTGCTCCAAGCGGAAAATATAGCTTCAAGCTCTGAAATTTCAGTAGCGACGGTGTTGCTTATAAGGGGTGGGGTTGCAACTTTCACACCCAGAACTCCGTCTTTCAATAAATAGGCCTACTACCTACTAGCAAACTAAGCAAGGTTAAATAGTAAGTCAGCAGCGAATCAAACCTCGGACCACGTGCGTGGCTAACGAGCATTCTACAATTGAACCACAAGGGGAAAAGATACTGATGATATACTACATCCTCTAGTTTACTAGCCGGTACTAAACCCGAAAAAGAGGGAATGTTGAGGTGTGGGGTTAGGAACCTCACCTTCTCTGCTGAAACTTCAAAGTACGGGGAAAAGTAAATTTAAATCGATTATATAGAGCATTTAATAAATTTATGCTTCTGTCGTCACCAACTTTATCGGAAATCTTATGATTGTATGGAAGTTGTCACGTCAGACTTTGGAATTCTACGTGAACTTAATATTTTTGTTTTTCAGATACAAAATCACAGGGCATTCAGTACTAATCACAGAAAAACCGACTTACATTTTCATCGATAGATTGAATGACGTCACGTAGTAGAGCTGGTGAATAACCATGTAGAATTGCAATGAAATCTTCAATACTGAGTAGGTCAGTTTTTGATGCTGCAGCAAGTTCAAACCAAACTTTCACTACAGTCAAAAACTTTTCTTTCTATATACATATAAAATATAAATAACATGATATTCGTAAAACAGAGAACTGAATGTAGATATGTATAAATGCAATCTTTCAGGATAGTTTGGTAATAATAATCTATCAAAAGGTAATCCAAGCCCTAAGATTGACCAGAGTTCATACAACCTCATAAGAAAGGCTTGATACTGAGGGGGAAGGGTATAGATATATAGCTCAATTCGACTGACTGGATTTCTGTTTCCCACCGAAAAACGGTTTGCAACACAGTTTACCTCTTCCTTTTTATCCCCTTCCACCAACTTAACCAGAAACAACAACAGGTGAATTAAATTATCAAAACCCATTGTGCCTTATTTGCAAACTATTTATGTCATCTTGTTCATGTGTCGTCGAATGTGAAACAGATTTCAATAGTCGCAACTTCTCATTAAAAAAATATGATGAGGAAGCTTTCACAAAAACACCGGATTGTGGTTTAATCAAATGACGTTTTACACGATTGTTGCTGGGTTCGAGCTTCAGTGGGAACACGACCACTCATTGCAGATGAAGGTGAATCCAGACGACAAGTCACGAACGGAGAGAAAAACATGTTTTACAATTCATATGACTAATTCACCAACTGTTAATACAATCAACACCCCTTAAATTATTATTATTATTACTATTACTAAATATCCTACTTATACTGTGTATTGACAAATCACTATGACTGGTTGTTATTTAATATTTACATGAACAGTTATGTGTATTAGATTAAAGTCTGAGGCAACGTAACTGAAAACAATGTTGTTCCCTTATATTTGTTGTTCTGAAATAATACAGTAATTACAAGGAACTAGATAACAGCTACCGGTTGAGGAGTAGTTATTAAATCTAATTCATGAGCTGAACATTAATAACGAAAGAGACTCACCATCTCTTCCTCTCTGCCAACAGTCTTTTCAGCTTGATAATAGCCAATTAATGATTCACACGCAGTTTTCAATTCATTTGATAAAGCAAACCTATATCAGTGAGAAGTGAATATATTACAAACAGTTTAGTAAAATAGAACACTGATTAATTCAGGTGTGTCTCACTTTCAAAGAGATTTATAGAAATACAGTAGAATAAATTCAATAAGTAAAGACAATCATTTGTATACCTAGTATAATATTACTTTTTTTCTTCTTTTAGAACAAGATTCACAAGATCAATATTTGCGGTGACTTTTATCAAAAAATCGATACTCACGAAAATTAACTGGATTTCTGACGTAAAAGTTTGCATAAAGGTACAGCTGTACATTTCGCTGCACTTTATACATTAACATGGAGAGAATAGGAAGTGCAAAGAAAGCTTACGGTCGTCAATCATGGAGTCAATTAAAGAGGACTACAGAGAACCGGATTAAATGGCGATGTGTTGTTGAAGCTCTATGTTCCACTCGGAAACTGAAGAAATATTAATAAATAATAATGCAGAGAGCATTTAGTAGACAGTCTACTAAAATTTTAGTGGATTCATTTATATTAACAATCATTGGTTGGAGGCAATCGGCAGGAAGCTTTGGACCTAGGTTTCTTGCTAGTTGGCACTAGTCACTGATGGAATTCAGTCTGCACCAAAGAAAGGACTAAACACAGCACACAAGTTACTAGTATCCAATCAAAATCATTGCTTCTTTTAAAACTATGAGTTATTTTAAAAATAACTTTTGTAGATATGCCAGTTAGCTCCTGAGTATTCGCGTAAGTGAATAAATCTTCTCTGTTTGGGAATGCCGACAGCAATTATTGAAGATTTAAGGATAATGTGGCACAAAAAGGAAATACGTCCTGGTCCTAATACCCTCAAGTAATACACAGTAGGCTTTGCCCTCATTCGCTTGCAGTTAAACAAAGAAATGAACTAATTAATAGACAAGAAAATACTGCAGTGATTGTCTTACGTTAGGCATTCCATTTACTGGGTTTCACTTATTTACCTATTCACTTTTATTCATGACTTCATTAATCATCAACAAACAATAAATCAAGTTGATATATTCAAGCAAATCGATGCGTATACAAAAAATGGAAGAATGTATGTATTTCGCTAACAGTTCTAAACGTCCAGTAATAAGGTTATAAACTAAATGATTTATATACAAAGAAAAAAGACTTATTTGTGAAAACACTGTCATCGATACATTTTATTTGTTTTTTATTATGATGGATAATCTTTTACCTTAGCCAGTGACGCAAGTTTTAGCTTAGGGTTAGACTGATTTCACTGGATGAAGATGATAGAGTCAAATTGAAGCGAAGCATAGTTTGCTGACACGTCGTTTACAGAAAAAAACATTTTTTCACCGACGCCAGTGTGTCTTTAGGAACTTTTCGGAAGATTGGTTTGGTAAGGGCTACCTTGTTGGGGGCTTAAAACTACCTCCTTGTTTGACAATCAATATTAGACGAAATAGGATTAGTAAAGCGATGAGAGATGGCGATAGTAAAACATGGCACAAACCCATGAACTCTTTGACTGTCGACTTGAGCCCCATGCGGAAGTCTAAACTCCCTGTTTGGGTTCCCGGGAATACTGAGAATTAATGGTCAGAAACTCGGTAAAATGACTCGAAATCTCTCCAAGTTGCGCAAACGTAATGACTTTTTTGGTGTTTCATATTCTAAGGGTCTCCGTAAAATCATCATTTATTTATTCCTTCTTCCACATGTTTACTGTAGTTTCCCTGCTGTTCTTCCAAATGTGTAGTAACTTAATCTGATGCATATGCAAAACGTGGGCGCTATGATAGTATGTAATTACATATTCATCTGTTCATTGGATATATCACCCAGTGAGAGAATATTATTTACTGGATGACGTTTGAAACACAAGTAATTGTTCATAATTTTATTACAATTGATGTATCTGTAAATTGGGAACGAAACTAGTTCGTCTTCAGAGATACTCTGTATGCGCCTCCAACTGGCCTAGCCTGTATACTTTAGTAAAAACATCACATATTAGTCTGACTCTATTCATAAGTTTTTCTTTTAGCGGCAAAATTTATAGCTTCTAACAGAACTTGTCCCTTAACTCAAGTAAACTATGATCAGTGAGTTACTTATTAGAAATAACACAGCTATAGCTATTTCGATTTTCTTTCCTTCTTAGGGATTCATTTCGCCACAGAGCAAAAGGACAGTTGTGAAATTAGATAGTCTGGAAAAAAGTGTACTTTTAATATCATCAAGTCACTGAAGCATATAAAACTGGGAAAGTGAATTCTGCATATTATCAATGATATTCATGTAGGGTTTAGTCATACAGTTATTAATACTGTATCACACTTAACTAATATGGAATTATACTCTACCACACTGCCCAATTGCTACTCTTACATTAGGCTTAAGTCAATAGCTGAACTTTTATCGTGTGTATACAAAATACATTCTCAGATAATTTACTTTAGTGAGTCTGGTTGTATGGTCCGCCGAAAATTGATAAAACGTTTACATCTCTTATGTGAATTTGACAGCATGGTTTTAAATGATGTCACGTAGGCTAAAGCTGTACACTCAAGATAACCTGAAAGAACTGCAACGGAAATGATATCAGCAGTGAAGAAGATATACTGGAAATTGGGAGAAAGAAAAATAAAGATGGAAGGATGGAACGTGTTTAGTTATGCAAAAGTGTGATCGGTTGAATTCTATGCACACTAATAATACAGGTTCAAATTCGGTCAAACTAAAATATCGAATGAATCAATATGATTAGTGTTGTTAAAAATTACAAGAATGAAGCAGTTATGAAATAAACTTTGATAACTGGTTATATGCAAAATAGTAGATGAATTTGAAGATTGTGCAAGAAACATGTTAGATAAACTTTTTTTCACATCATAACACAATGATATAGTATGAATAAATGAATAACTTCTCTCGAGTACCACAGTGAACTTATTCCACTCTCATAACAATTATTTTAACTAGCTACAATTCAGAATGTGTTCTTTGTTCACTATTTAACTAAGCCAAAAAGTTTTTTGATAAAATTTTTAACTGTATTATATATTTGCATAAAAATACGCAAATGAAGCTAGCCTTAAAATTCTAAGGAGCATTCAGTTCAATATAGGGTACTTTGTCTTTGGAATAAATTAACAGATAATTCATATCAAAATTCAACCAATCACTTAGCTTTAATTAACCTGCTTGGTTTCTTTTTGGAAAATTGGTAGATTATTCTTTGTTTTTTATATGTAATAACTAATCAGATGCTGATTGAAAATAATGCCAATGAAATCTCATAAAAAGGAATTTAAACTATGAACATTGGTATCAAAGATCATACGCAATGCAGATACATGAAAATAAAGAAACAACATAGAATTATTGTGTGTAAGACTTGGGTACTGTGGTAGTATGTAATTTCATATTAATTTATGGATAGGTGGGAAAAGCTGGAGACTGGAAAGTTCATTCACATCTCCAAACTGTGGTAGAGTTATGTGGATGACACACTCACGGTAGTAAGAACGCAACAACCCAAAGATAGGGGCAATTCAATGCACTCATGAATTGGAAAGTCATGAAGGCAAGCTTCGAATGTTAGATTGTAGCAAAAAGAGGAAAGAAGATGGGTAGTTGAATACTATTGTTTACAGAAAACCCTCACATTCAAGTCGATATGTGGATTTCAATTCATTCCCCCCCCCTATGTTAGTAAAAGTAGTATTAGTAATAGATCGTAAAAATAGATCGTACCAAAGAAAATTCAAGATAGAAAGTAAGACACATAAGAGAACGTCTAAGACTTGATTATGAGGCGACAAACTAATTAGGAAGGGTATAGGAAATTGTAAAAGAACAATAAGAATAATAATGAATACGAAATGAATGGCAAACATGCACAGAAATATAATAACATCAACAATAGGCAATTTAAGACATCAGTAGTGCTTCCATACAAAGAATGAACCTTAGAAACCTTACATAGAATTCTCAATAAAGCAACAATAAAAGGGACATTCAAACCCACAAACTCACTTATAAAAACTTAAATCGGCTAAAAGATCCTGTGAAGCTCGTTGCGAACCCTGCAATGATTGTCAGTTCAAGGTAAATAGGATGGGGTCAATTAGATTACCGGAGCACTAAAACCTAATAAAATCTAGATTATTTGCCCCTAATAAGATAAGCAATCTGGAAAACAGTTCAGCTGTAGCACTGCATGCAACTGCACACAACCAAAACAAAAGAATGGGAGAAGGTGACAGTCTTTAAATCTAATAAAACACGATGAAGCCACAGATTACTAATGGAAGCTTTATTTATCGAATCAACTGAGAGCACTTGCAATGAGAATGATTCAACATCTATCCACTCAAACATCTGGAAAAGTTTACAACTCTTATGACAAATGAGGAAGAAGAAAGAGAATTATACAAATCATGCTTCGAAGTTGCTTAGCTACAATTGACACGGATATGAACAAAAAATTGCATTCGAAACTTTGTCATACAGTAAATAACACTGTTTCATTGTGTGATATATCGAATGAACCACAGAACAAATTGATTTTGAAACGATTCAGAAAAAGTGAATGTAAGAGTGTCCTTCTGTCCCTCAAGACACGTCGGTACGTAATTATCGCAATTGAGAATAGCAGGCTGAAAATACCATTTCATTTTTTTTCCAGAGAAATATTCAGTGATATTGAAATTAATTACGATTCGTTTACGCCCATAAGTAACATGCTATGCCACAGAGTACGATAAAGCAACAATCTTTAAGATTATTATATGGGAATGTAAAGAAAGGATTGGATACCTTCATGCCAGAATCGATGTCTAATTTAAGAATGCAGTATGATTCTACATGTGCGTCGGTGGCATAGTGGTTAGGACGCTTGCCAACCATGCGCATGGTCCGGGGTTCGATCCCCGGCCGACGCACTCCTTTACCTCGCTAAGCCAGAACTAAAGCTGGTGAAGAGGAAAGGTTGGGCATGAGGTTAGCAACCCCATCCTGTAAAAATGAACACTGCTACAGAAACTTCAAGCCTCTAGCTTGAAGCCCTATGCTCCACTGGGAACGTGAAGGAATAAAAAAAATGATTCTACATACTTTTGTAGTGAAATCAACAGTAAAAAGAAACTCGAGAAGTTAAAAAAAGATGAAAAACGATGAATGAACATCTAAACATCTCCCAACAGGGTAATATAGCACATTTAAATTACGGATTTACGTACTTTAATTAACTGCAAATAACATCATTTGTTTTTATCTATGGACTTACCGATGATTACGTACAGGTATCCACGAGACAGCAGTAGGCTTTTGAGCTAACAAGACCGGATTGTAAGCTCTAAATTACAGAGCAGAAAAATGAAGGCTTAGTGTAATTGATTTGAGTATCTAAAAAGCAATATACTTCAGTGTTGACTTAAGAACAATTTACCAGATCATAAAGAGATAACAGCTGGATACTTATATAAAACAGACCAATTATATGATTGAAAACCAGTAAGGCAACAAAACACAAGGCTCACTGTAGTTTTACAAACAAAAATATCAGTGGCTTAGGCAGAATAATAGTTCATTAGTAAATTAGATCAAGAGAAGTCAGAAGAAAACTTGACAGCTTCTTTGAGAAAGCTTGTTATTCCACATAATTAAAACAGTGGAATGTCAAGACAAGTTTCAAATACCACCAGGTAGTGTCATGCGACTCTATTAAAAAGGTGGTCCACTGGGTGATTGAAGTATTTCTAAGAAAACATCGGCTTAGCAAAACATCAGAAGCTGAAGGCTGAGACTATCAGCTGCTACAATGAATTCAGCTTCATAACGTACTTTACTCTTCTGAGCCTGAATTAAACTTGATATCAGTAATTGGATATAATAATAATAAGAGACGAAATGAAAAGTATATTCGAGGAAGCACTCTATAAAAGATAAAAGAAGTCAAAGTACCACTTGAACTTACTAATTACAAAAGCTTAGGATTACTAAGAGTTTACACATATGATGGTCATTTTAAACTTTGCTGTCTGTCACACCGCTTACATTACAATCAAAATTAGGGACGCCTGTAAGAAAGCTGAGTTCTAACATACACAACATCAGCTTTTAAACTGTATGTCGCACGTACTAATCATGAAACCAAAGAAGCATCAGCTGTGCTACAGTTTGATTGTACAAATACAAATATAACTAAAACGGCACCAAAGATTTAACAATTTCGAAATGAGTAAATAAGGTGGATGAAAATGAAGGAAACTTACTCCAAATGTGGTAAGTCTTGGACTGATTCAGGCAATTTAGCAGTTTGTCCATAGATAACCGGTATTACTACAGCGGGCACAGAGGCAGAAGAATTCAGTGGATCAGATAAACTGGTAGTGTGAAGCACTCTAGGATCTGGCTTTGAATGAATAATATCAGGTGTTGTCCGTATTCCAGAGGGTGAGGTTACACGAAATGGAGAAAGTATCTCATTGGGCAAGGTAGAAGAATCAACTTCTTCAGTTTCATCACCTACATGGTGAAAGATTTCAACAGTTGGTTGATACTCTTTAACAACATGTGTACTTCCAAGATCAACACTCTTCGTCATAGCTTCTTGAAATGCTGCCTGTCCACCAGAACTTATTTCATCTATATTAATTTTATCCATCAACAAATACCTCTGTGATAATTCATCAACCATACGTCTTTCAGTTGATATAGTGTAACTTTCAGAATGACTAGACGTAGATGAGGGCCATTTGGATAGGGAAATCATAGTTCCACTTAATTTCGGCGAATCACATCTTGATGGTCGCGTGACACAAACAGATGAATTTGAGTCATTAAGCTCCTGATTTCCAGAAAATTGGTCAACTTTCTGTGTGTAGTTAAATTTTAAAAAATACGTTTCTGAAATTGATTTAACAGCTAAAATGAAACATTTCTTTTACGATTATTAAAGTAAAAACCAGAAAGTGAGTCAGACTGTTTCACACAGTCAACCACCATACATGATAAATAAGTTAAACTAAGTATTTTCACTATCCCATAAATTAAAAATGGATTTAGTAAGTAAACCTTTTGCACAGAAAAAAAGTAAACCTAACGCACTGCTCTATATACTGAAAAACGCATATAGAATAATAGACGCTTGTCTAAAAGTTATTGGTCACCAATAAAATCAGTATCATTTTGTCTTTCATCCGTTAGGGAATAACAGCGTCTGAAAAGTGCTTTGATGCTTAAGGTCTTTGTTACCACTGTTAAGTTTTGTAAAACGTAAAACATAAAGATGATGCATAAAAACGCATACAACGTGGAAAATACAATTCTGCAACAATTCTACAAGAAGAAATTTATGCATATATGTGAACTTTAAAAAAGCACGCTAACCTCGAAATACTCTGTTAACTTCTGGGATTTTACCACAATATCTTTCTTATTTTGTTTCTCAGTAGGAGATTTACTTTGTTCAGGCTTAACTGAACTGACCGTCCATTCTGGTGTTTGTGTTGATGAGCCGACACGTCGAAGCTCAGAAAATATGGGGTCGGAACCCCTATGAACCATTTCCGAATTAACCTCGACTTGAACACCACATGTAGTGAAACTTCTTAAATCTTTTTTGGGTAGAGTACCTTGGCTGCGAAGAACGGGAGACTCTGTAAGGCATCCAACATTGATTCCTGAAGAACGTTTTGTCATAGTACACCGACTGTTTGACACAGGTATTGCTTGTACATACTGAGAAACTTTTGGCTGAGGGGGGTGACTAAGAAGACCAGCATCCAAGACACTTTCTTTAGTTTCGTTTTCAAGTGGTGAACAACCACGAGATTGAGTGATGATTTGGGCCTGAGAACTCACATGACAAACTGATTTCTTCATGATGCTTAGTAGAAAACTAACAAATTCTTCGCGGTTCTGATAAAAATTCCGTATAACTTTGAGTATAATCTTTTTATATCTATCTTCCAAATTCGGGAAAGTGCGATCTAACCATTCTTTGATGACGGATTCCGTTTCATAGTATAAACAGCCGAATTCACGTGTTTCTGGTTTAGAACAGTTAACTCCAACTTCTTGAGAAGATGGGCACACACTTACACCAACACATCTAAATTTAGATGGTGCAAGTGGGCTTGCCATAGTAGCTGTGGTTCGCTTAGTGGCTTCCGATAGTTGTGTACTAATAGTACGAGTAATAGGTCGATCGGACAAGAATTGTCTGTAGAAATAGGATTCCAACCTAGACCAATATTCCGGGGGGAACTGGCTTTTGTCAATCACTTTAGTGTCTAAATTAAGATGTTTGGCATTAGGCATATCACTAATAACAGGGTCAGCTTTAGGAGCCTTTTTGTACGTACGAACCTCTTCTTCGACAATTTCTTCTACTTCCTCATCTGTACTATCAGAATGGATTCCATTCTGGATTCGGTGAGACTCTTTAATTTCCTCTTTTTGATGAAGAAGCATGTTTTCTTCATACAGATAACGCAGGTTATTTTGAAGAATAGGGACTTGACTAGCTTCCTCCTCCAATTTTTTAATTTGCCTTTGTAATTCACTTATTTTTGACTCGTAGCTTTCTTCAACTGCCATTGACGTATTCAGTGGCGTATCATTGATAGGCTCATTTGTGTACTCAGGGCGGGATTCAGATTGTTCTCCACGTACCGATACACATGTTCCATAAATAAAGAATTCATCCTTATCTTCTGCATCGAAATTCGGTAAAGTGTAGACGCCTGGATTTTTACTTAAGGATTGGTGTAGTTTAAATGCACCATAGGAGGGATTACTGGAGACGGTCGAGACATCAGGATATATATCCCAGTCAAAATGTTGTTCGGGGATTTCCATTTGAGAATAATTTGATATCTTTCACAGAATCAGTGCATTTATTTGTATCAACAGTTGTACCTTAGAAGAAGAGAAAATCCATGTTTTAAGAAAGGTTTGAGATGAAAGTGAAAAGATTATGTTAAATATTTGTCAAATCAAGTAAGCTTTACCATAACTAGACTACATATGTGGATTTCCAACTAGGGATAAATCATTTTCATTATAATAAAGGTTTTTGTATTTCCCAATGAATGAAAAACAAAACGATATTGTTTATACTGACGTTTCGCTATTTAGTGCTAATAGCTTTATCAAAGTATTATAATAAATCATTTTCGTTTACTAAAGCACAACACATGATAAACGAATTTAAAAGATACGACACGAGTGTGCATAGTCCAACCGACTTTTGAGATAATGTTCGATACTTATATGACAAAAATACGTTTAAAGCACGATTGGTTTTGAAGCATTTGTCACTTAGTCTGTGATTACTCATTAGTAGCTTATACAGGATCTAAGTCACAGAAACCGCAAACTTAGCAACCGGAGAACTCAAAGATTAGGGCTGTATTTAGGGGCACTTAAACATATGCAACCACTCCCTAACCCGATAAAAAATGCAAATATTAGAGCGAGGTCAGGCAGTTAGTAGGTACTGTGCGACACTGGGTTATAATACTAATAAATATAATACATTATCACGCCACCCAGCAACCAACCGTAATTATATACAGCTGAAAATGAGCCACATCTATTGAGTAAGGGCCAATGATAGTACCTGACATCCCAAACCTGGGTAGATGGAGCGAGGTTCTAACCCACGAACCACATAGTGAAATTCGAGCAACCAGACTAATAAGAGACAGCTTAACAGATCATAATGCTAATAAATCAGAACAATGTTCAATTGCTACCCTGTACAGATGTCATTGATTTAAAGACAGATTTCGTCACAAACCGACATTAGTTAGAGAATCATTGAAAACCACGGAGTACTGGGCGACTGTCTTGTTCTGTTTAGAGATTCTGAATATGTGCGCGTCATAGAGGATGTAACCCAGAAACTTCAGGCTGGGATGAGCACATTACGATTCAGCCTATAACTCAGAACCCAGTGGTCGTCCAACTAATGTCATGGACAAGCATTTGTTAGCTAACGATAAAACCAACTCTGACTTAAGAAAAATTAGTAAACATTCCGCTAACTTATCCAAATGACCAGCACAACTGTGTAATTGTTAAGAAAACTCAGAGGCATTCACTTATATTCAGAAATTAAGGGGAGACGTCTCTGTAACACGAGGAACAAATCGTCCAGTCTTATGGTAAGTACTGGGAGACAAGGCATGAATAATGAAAAAATCACGAGTCCTAAAAACGAAGCAATTTAACAGTTATTTCGTAGGGTCTTAAAAGCACCACATATGCACAAATTCAGGAACTCGTTTGATTGAAATACGCTTAGAGAATAGAGATTTCTGTAGGAGTGTAGTGATGTTAATGTTGCACAGAGTGCGAAATACGAAAAGGATTAGAAGGCTGAATATTGTGCTTGTGCTCCATGTAAGTGTTTTAGGTCAAAAGGCTGGAGAAATGCAACGAAATCCAGTGTACAGGTGAAAATAATCACATATTTTAATCCAGTATACAGCTCAAGACAATAAACGTTGTTCAGAAGGCGTTGTCTACATGGCTCATTGAAACACCGGCTGCACGTTACTGAATAATAACTGAGGAACTAAATCCTAGCATATATTTAAATTTCCATTAGTCATACGAGATAGAAAAAACCAGCAGGATGAGTTCAATTATGCTTATGTTCTAAAACAGTAAATATATAGAATCCTATAACCTCATGGATTGGAAATAACTATTATTACCAGGAATGTAACCTTGTGAAATGAAAGCAGTTTTTGCATCACCATGCAGAAAATAAAATGCTTATATTTCTGAATGCCAAGTACATGGTTCTAGGTTCGTTAATCAAAGACGTGTAAACTTTCATATATTGGCTTTGAAACATTCTGGATTATCACACGCTTTTCACATAATTTGCAACTTATTAGTTTGCAAGTAGTAAAACAATATGGAAATGGTGTTAGGTGAACCAAGTTGAGGGACTAATAGTTGGAAAACGTAGGGTGAGAAGAGATATAAAAGTGAACCACTTTGTCCCCTTGGTTCAGTCATAATGCATAATGAAACACTAAGAAACAGAAGAGTAAATGCCATAACATTTGTGACGATCGATAAAATGCATGAACTACAGGTGACTGAAATAAAATCCGACAAGTTATGAGTGCAAAACATCTAAAACTGAATCAAAATGTATACCAATGTAAAAGTTATTAAACATCAAGTTGAATTTGAGCTACAGATAATAACATGACAACAGGCACAAAAATAAGTCAAAGGCTTTTCTATAACCGGAGAATTTTCAAACAGTTTTCACACGAGCTGAGCCAGTAAGAGATCTTAACCAGTTTCAATATCTTTTGTGATATTTCATTAGAGTCTTAGTTAGTTTTTCATGAAAACTTTGGTAAACTGGTTAAGAAACTTGTGAGCTACTTTGATATTGAGTCCATACTGAACAGCAGCCGACTCAAAAGTGAAGTACGATAATTCCAAAAATATAAGCTACATATCCACTCAGAAAAATGACTAAATTCATCTCCAAAATGTCTCTAAACGAACTCCAAATCATAAAATAAGGACTAACATACAGAACTCAGCCCTTTTTAAGCGCCAGAGTGAAGCCTGAATAGACCTTGACATTCTATATAGTAAAACAAAAAACCAGAAATAAAATTGTAACTGCCATATTGAACAGTTTACTGAAAGATTATTAACCAGTTACTTTATGTGCTTTCTTGAGGTTGTTTAGAACTCCGTGATTGGCTTACACGGTAACTGATATTGTTGCTTTTTGACCTTGAAGATTATTTGAATGAACAGTTGCTGGAGTTGTCATTAGTAGGATTTGATAATCACAAAAATGAGCAGAATTAAAGACGTTTTACGTCAGAAAGTATTCACACAGTATGATGAGCCTGACTTGTGGGTAAAAAATTACTTGACGAATCCTCCTGTGTCAGAAGATGAACTAGAACATCTCAGATCAGTCATGCAAAAGGACAGAGCTCTTAAAAAGTCCGACTATGAACGGATTGTGTAAGTCCTGAATGCGTTTTTGTTAATGCATCTTCAATTGTAAGTTTTCAGAGTATAAAGCTGTGAAAACTAACCACACCAAACTAAATCTTCTTAAAATTCATATGTCTTTCCCTGAAGCCAAGATGTCTGTAAATTTATGGGAATTTAGTCTAGGTTATTTTATGGTTAATTCAGTTTTCTTGTGAGCTCATCAATCTATGTTAAGGTTTTCACTGAACGGTCTCCATCACACTAATACAACTAGGTCTAGAGTTAATGCAATAAAATCGTCCCTCATTTCGATTCTAATCAATTACAGTGAATATTGTACATTCTTTTCTATCAAGGGCATGTTATGATGAAGAAAGCTATCGGTAATACTGAAGGAATTCTACTAGGTTGAAGACTAATTTTGTGACTTTATTATCGACTAAATGTTGTAGGCTGGTCAAATATTATAGAAGTATTATAAATTCTTTCAAAAGAATGGTTGATGAACAAAGAATTTTCTCTTACTCCATGAAAGGCGCTTTAACATTTTCTGGTGTTTTATCCCCTGCATATTGTCTGTGAGTGGTATTCATTTGGATACATGTAGATCAAGAGTCTTTATCCAGTATCGTTTTTACAAGCTAGTATTAACCAATTTGATATCTTTGTGCTCGCCTCTTGATTATGAAGTATAGGTTCCTGATCTTCGGTAAACTTCTGCGTAGCTCGTCCCGCCACTCGACTGTCGTAGCTCTGGTTGATTCCAAAAGGAGTAGTGCTGGGATTAATTACATGTGGTTTGTAGTATGAGGTGTGTTAAGACTTTTACTACTGTGAATGGAGTTGATCCTTTCACCAGTTAGTCCTCCAGTATCGTCGTCAAAAGAAAAGAGATAATGATAATAGATATAACTAGTGAAGTTACTCAGACTAACAGACAGAAAAAGAATAAGAAATCGTAACAACAGTCAGCTGATTAAATTTGAAGAATAATATGAATTATATATATATATATATATATCGGTAATAATGATAATAATAATAGATGTAGTTAAAGTTCTCAGGAGAGTAAGACGGGAGAGAATGTAAAGAAGTAAAATGACAAGTTTAATTGTCTACCCCTGAATGTTGTATGCGATTTTAAGGGGATAGGCCATTTGGATGCAGTCCTTGTATCGCTGCATGGTTGTCCAGCCTTCGCTTAAAGGCGTCCACAGACGGTGCCATAGCTACATCTGCCGGTAAGGAATTCCAGGGATGGCAAACCCCCAGTGAAAAGAAGTGGGAGCGCACTCGGGTCTTTGCCCTCTGGTAAGCTATCCTTCAGGGATTTCCACGAGGGAGCCTATACCTACTCAATGGCAGAACACCTTTGTTTGGTTGGTTCTGGTCATTTGTTATTTTGTAGGCAGTAATTAAATCCCCCCTAAGACGATGGTAGCTAAGTGTGAATAGGCCTAATTTCTTCAGCCTTTCATCATATGTTTTATTTCAGAGACCGACCACTCCTTTTGTTGCCCGTCGTTGGACTCTTTCTAAGAGGTTGGCATCTCTTCTAAGCAGTGGGAGTGCAATAATATTATTCACTTCAAGGTGTGGTCTAACGTAAGTTTTGTACAACCTTAAAAAGAGTACAGCAGTGAGTGCACCTAACTGGCTATGTGTTAAGTGTATGACCGCATATGCCCTCGCTACATCCCCTGTGTAATTTATGCTTGTGTTCATTTTTTCCGTTAGAACTAGACCTAAGTCGTGTTCCGACGTTGTGCAGGACAAGCTTTCATTGCACATAGTGTAACTTGCATTCTGGAGTCTACAGGTGCGTAACTTCACTACTTTGCACTTTTTTAGGTTGAAAGTCATGCCACTGGCCACCGCCCAGTCTTCCAGAAGGTTTACATCTTCCTGTAGCCTATCTGAGTCCTCCGAACACTTTATCGCCCTCCATACCTTAACGTCATCAGCGTATAGAAGAGTCGGGCAGCTTAGACGGCACGGTGGATTATTGATAAAAATCAAAAACATCAGTGGTGCTAGGATAGAACCCTCTGCATCGTGGTTGATCTGACTCTTAGATACGCGCCACGTAAACCAAGCCTTCCACTTTGCTTGCAGAATACGTTGCGTGCCTCTCTTTAACCATGATGAATTTCTTTTGGGCTGTGTTTTGTCCAAAGGGACGGTATCCGAGATTACTGTATGAATAATCTATTTTACCACCTCCCAGTGTTCATCCACAGATGGCTCATCCCATGCTAAGGGCCAGTCTGCGTCGGACAAGAGCCTCCGCATTTCAGCATAGTCAACCTTGCTGTAACACATACATGGTCGCGTAACGTCCCACTGCAAATGCTTACGGAGAACGAGATCGAAACCTATGACTGCATGGTCACTACTTCCTACAGGAGTCATGATCTGGACCTTTTGGACGAGTAGTTGTTCACTAGTTAGAATGTAGTCTAGTTTTGATGACTATCCACTAGGGCCCCACATGCATATCGTTTCAGCGTCTTCTTATTGGGAGGGACTTTGTTTGGTAACCATTCTTTCGAAAACATTTTAATGAGCATTTTTCATCGGTTGAAATATCATAAGTTCACCTAATCTCAAAACTCTGATAAGACGAATACCTCAAGTTTAAGATACTGAAATGAATAGAGACGAGTTGCAATTTATGACAAGAAAGCATAGAAAACTGAGTGTTGAAAATCTTGGGACTGTTAATAAATCACTCTTGTCAGATTCCATTTCATTTTCGTTGCACACGAAGGTTTCTCAGCGATTATCATTTTTTGCAGAACGCCATCTTCTAAACGTACAAGCCTACGATTTCTAGATAAGATTCGGCTGACATGTAGTGATTTTAAGTTTGAAATGTTTAGTAGATTATCATCTTCGCAATAGTAACTGATATTCGTCAAAAAATTAGTTACAAAAGATAATGGTTGACACCTACCTACTCTTGTTGCTTGCCAAAAGGTTCACAGTATTTAATTATGTTTGACACTTGAAGAACCACATGTAAACCCTATCGTTAAACTTAAGCTTGTAGTAAGATCTTACCTCAATAATTCATCGGTTTGGTGTATAGAGTACTAAAAAGTGACTAATTTCTAGATACCTCTGTTATTAGACTTCAGCATTCATGCAAGAATAATCATCTAATGCTTTCATTTTGGCAATAATCAAGTTTATGTGAAAATGTTTTGCATATGATTCTGAAGCTAAAATGATCTTAGTTTGTCTAGTATCTTACATGTATAGTATGCTTAATTCTGACTAATATGTTCCACCTGTTGTCAAACTGCAATAAAAATCTGTGTTTGTTTGTTACTCCTTCATAAATACAACATTTAGGCCTCAAATATATGTTATTTTGCTGAAATGGTTTGTCACATACACATTTACGTGGCTGTTGATTATCGCTTTTCATCACTAGATATATTTGTATATATACATATAAACATAGTGCTGAAAGTAACCCTGATACAGTTCCTGGTATCACTGTTTTTGTCTGAACCATTTTTAGTTACTGGTCTATGTAGCAGCCTTTTCCACTAAGGTCGGCTGAATGAATGAATTTTATGAGAATAGGTACCAAATTCTCTATGGTCAAAACTAGGGAAATACCTCTTAGAATGACAATACGCTACATCACATAGAATATTTTGTTGTGAAATTTCACTTACTGGTGCGTATTATAAATTTTAGATCAATCTATTTTGAAAAACTAGGAAATTACCAGAAATTATTGTTCACACAAAAAAATTATTGTAATGACGCCACTGCGAAATAGCGTTCTGTTGCAAAGAGGAGGTAAAATAAGTCAACCGTCAAGACTTTGCCACAGAAACTCGCGGCTCTCTATAAATAGGGTAGTCATTCAAGATACTATGTTTTGAGATTAGAATTTATGGTAACCGAATTTAGGAAAACTTTGTCTGATAATATTTATAGTATTTATAATTTTTAGTGTTCACGTTAATCAATACTGTACCCATAGAGACTCAATTGCTGATACTATAAGTAAATTTATGGTACTCATTAATAAATGATTAATGAATAAATTAAAAACCTAACTGTTGCATTTCAGTACCTCGGTGGTGCAGTGGTAGATTACTCGCCAACCATACACACGGTATGGGGTTCGATCATTGGCTGACGCACTCCTAAACTTCGCTTAGCCGGTGGTAAGTCCGATAAAGAGGAAAGTTTGGGTGTGAAGCCAGCAACTGCATCCCTAAAAAACCAACACCACTGCTACTTAAACTTCAAAGAAGAAGCTTGAAGCCCTATGTTTCATTTAGAACCCAAACACACAATAAGTGGCCCACTTTGATCAATAATAAATATTTTGTATTCTCCACGGTGACCAACTGGTATTTAGTTTGTCGTGGGCCACACGGACTTTATAGATCCATTCAACCTCTACAGTGAAAAATAGTGACTTAATTTTCACATTGTACTGCTCACGCTACCAAATTATTAGTTCAATATTGTAAAACATTTCATCCCTAACATTTGAGTTTCACTTCAGAGATCAATAAAATATCATAAGAGAGCGACCAGTTATATTTTGTTGCATTCATAAGGAATTGCTAAATGAAGCACTGGTGATCACTAAAGAGCAAAGACTAAGTCTAAAAATATCAAATAACTGCTTGAGGAACCCACACTCAAATGGAAACAGCTAACTTTGTCTTCGCAGATATACAGTGAAATTCATAGTCTCTCCTTTTAATAAAACATATTTGGCTAAAGCCCAACCCAAATACTAAAATAAAAACACTAAAGCAATAACAGTTGTTAAAGTGGTTTATTAATTACGCTTAAACTTCACCTGATGTATCTGTTCTCAGAATTTAGTCATATAAGAAAAAATTAAGAAAAGACAGCTAATTACACTTGATATTACTGCTCTTTAGCATTCCACTCAAATCTTTGGATTTTTCCCCAATTATTCTACTGTTCCATGATTATCATACAGGAAATGTACTCCATTCTAAACGTCACTGACTCCGTTCACT